GGGACTAACAAGTGAGCTCAGGCTTAAGTTGATGCTGAGACCGAGACCATGTTTAATACGCATGGCCTCGGTCTATGTGGAAACGTCGTTAATAGTGTGTGAAGGAATCTTTCTTTCCGGAACTAACGTTTCCATAAAATCTTACTACCAAATCTTTCTTTCGAAAACTCTCTCAGTGATTCTTTCCCCAATTTCTGATTTTCAAATTGCATGGAATCCTTCTTTCGAAAACTAACATTTCCATAAAATCTCACTATCAAAGCTTTCTTTAGTTAATAATTTGTAATATGTGGAAGCGGTTGACTATTAATATACTGAATACTAATTTATTGTCGGTGGATATGATTAATACAATATCGATAATATATAGAATCCCAAACTTGAGAATACTTCAATGTTCAATTCACGAATTAATTAATTTATAATGAATGATCACAATTAATATTTTCGATTAATAATTATCGCCCCAAACCTGGGCTAACACGACTGACGAATAGTACGTATAATTTATAAATGATTGTTCGACTCCTCTACTTTGCTTCTGCCGTAGCCTTCTTTTATACGCCTTGTTTTCCATTGCTTTCTCACATTCCTGTAAGATAATATTCGTAGATAACATTCTTTGTTACATTTTCTCAGCTTTCAAATAATGCCTTTGTTTTGGCTATTAGCATGCATTTTATCTAAATATGCAACAAAGATGTTGCATTTCTCATATGTGCATCTTTCATATCTTGAACACTTTCAAAAACTTTCTCAATGATTGTTTCCAGAATTTCTGATTTTCAAATTGCAAGGAACCTTTCTTTCTGGAACTAAAATTTCCATGCAATCTTACTATCAAAACTTTCTTTCAAAAACATTCACAAATTTTTCATTCGAAATCTTTCTGAATGATTCTTTTCACAACTTTTTATTTTTAAATTGCATGAAATCGTTCATTGCGGAACGAAAATTTCCATAAAACCTTACTATCAAAACTTTCTTCCGAAAACATTTAAAAATCTTTCTTCCGAAAACTTTCTCAATGATTGTTTCCACAATTTCTGATTTTCAAATTGCATGGAATCTTTCTTTCCGGAACGAAAAAAATTGAGTTCCCTATCCAACGTACTACTTGGCATTCCCCAATGGAATTTCTGTTCTGGAACTTGTTCCATTTCAATCGCTCGCAAGAGCAATATTTTGCATACCGAGGCATCATTTTAGATTACAATATCGAAAACCGAACGTTCAATTTTTCTCGAAGTTTGTTGGTTTGTAGAGAATTCAATTTCCTTCACATTCCTACCTCATGCATACGTTCAGATCAGGTAAAGCATTGAAATAGGTCAAATTCCTGTGCCTCATCGATAAATTAATTCGCTTTGTGGGATCTCGTTTCCTCTGTGCTCTGCCTAGCCGTGTCGCTTCAAAAGTGCAATTTGGCCTCTGTTACCATAGCTGTCGTAAATATGTGCAAGGAGCTGTGGCACAATGTCCTCGTGCATGCAATGGCTGACGCGTGATATCTGTGTTTTAAGCCACACCTCTTTCCTGGACGACTGAAACCCGATCGAATGATGTCTGTTTGGGCGGAGATCATGACTTCATGTTCACCACATTCTTTCTTGATTTACTCAATCAACAGTTATTCAGCACGCTAAGATGTCAGTGCTCCTTAATAAAGCAATCAGGGTAATGTGTTCCGCACCATCGACTTTGCGTATTATTGCATTTTTGAATTCTTCTTGCATCTCACATAACGCGTTGCTATTGTTTATTTGATTTGTCATCAACACGATTAATGTGTTTATTACGCGATTGTCATCCTTATCATGGTTAGTTGGAAATGGGGACTGTTAAGCACGGTAACTTTGCTTTAAGAGAAGTATGGATGCGTTTTCTAAATCGATAGTAGTAACACGATGCGTGAAAATAATTATGCAGATGTAGTGCTTATAATTGATGAGTTTTAATTGTTACAGCAGGAATAAATGAACAGTGAACAGCTGCAAAGTTGGTTGAATGAATTGAATGAACGATGTCAACATGATGAGAAATCATTCAGTGGAGTTGAACGATCACGAAATACGCTTAACGAAGAATCTGATAAGACCAATTTATTAATTGCATACGTGAAATGCAATTATGCCGATATCGACCTAACACAACCGATTGTCGCACAACTTCTAGCATGCTACTATCGTGGAGGTGAATTTTCCGTTCTTTGATTGCATTCGCTTAATGATGATTACATTATTGTTATCGTCGTCAGCAATCAGAGTCGTGTTCTTTTGTTATCACCCGTTTTTAAATTATTAAAATAAATGCTGCTAGTTTCATCAATGCACGGGTAGATATTGTGTTGTATTTATGACCTTCCCTGTTGGAGAAATGCCGTCATCAAAAACAAATTGCTGAGTAATTGCAGGTGTACTGCGCTATTTTGCATTACAATTTGTACCGTCCTTCATCTACATATATTTATTGGCATTAGCGAAACGCCAAAAGCGTTCAGTTTGTATGCTCGAGACATTCTTCATCGCCATTTATAACGAAGAAATCTTAGCCGTCGATACTGGCTTGTCGTCACCCCTAAAGAAGGTCGAAGAGGTCGGCAGTTTATTCTTGATTCATTAAATTCTGATCGAATAAAAGGAAAAACAAGGGGGATGAGGATAGTTATCCCACGTGTATTCACATATCGAATGAAACCGACCTAAGTTTGAGAATAAACGAATATTTCAGATTCGTATACCGTCAGTGCGCTATCCAAGCGTTTATCACGATCCGAAGAAACTTACGTCAACAATCGAAATTATGCCACCTAAATCTGGGACTCCAGCCTATGTTCAGGTTGAAATAAAGTTTCTTTTATTTTAATATACGAACTTATACGAATTATGATTCAGAAATGTTCGTTTGCAGATGACCGTAAGAATCGGTCCGTATGATTCAGTTGATCGTCTAATACCAGAAAATAGGCAATCAGTCTTAACGAGATTGCTGAAATCGGTTAGTAAATAGCAATTTGTTGAAATTGAATTCATGTTTTTCAACTAAAAATTTTCACAATGGTGTGTGATGATAGCATTGATAATCATGAAAATGTTAGTGATATAAATGAATTAAAGGTAAACAGTTGTTTGTATAAGTTGGCTCAAGATGTTGTTTGTCGCAGTTTGTGTTTGAGCACAATGGCGTTATGTCAAAGTGGCTTTTCGATTCCGGAAAGTGATTTTCGATCACGAATCTTCATCACTGAACCGAATGGTGAAATATTGGACGACATTTCGAAGTTGGTTTCGAATTTGATTATACACAATCGAATCATATTCTCATTGGTTTTTGTTTTGAGTTTTTCAAATGTGAAATAAATGTTGCAGAAAGCCACGAATTCATCTATCGTCGCAGTACTTGCTGGAAGCACTGAATGGTGTTTATTTTGCACTCTTCAATGGCGCATCAGAATTGGCGATTCGATCAATCGATGCAATACATCAACGCGCCATTTTTGAACTTTATTCTGATGTTATTCTGGTTTGTTAATGTTATCACCATGAGTTATTATTAATACTGTTGCTGTTATTGTGATGAGATAATTTGTTTATAGGTGACGAATAGCATCAGAAATTCATTATTGGAGAGTGTGTATCGCAGCACCAGATTGAGTGGTATTACCGACGAGAGTAATACATTAAAACAACAGTACCGATCATCGACGAATGCCAATTATTTGGGTGCTGAAAACCGACGAAAACGCTCGGAAATGGTGACGAACGCATCATTACGTGTGAAGAAAATGCCTGAGGATATTTCGGTGGTGCTCAGTGATTCTGATGATGCAACGAGAAAAGAATCTTCGTCGTTCGTTGATGGTTAGTGGTTTCATTATTGTTGATCTGTGCTAGGTTGTCATTCAGGCAAGCTTGCTGATGGTTTCTGATTTACTTTTTCATATTTGCTGGAAATAACCACATCATGCCAATAATATGCTAAGTCTCATCCAGTTGCCCAACAAACTTTTTTAGTATTGAATAATATTGTTGTTACGAGGTATACCATTAAAATGGGTCATTTCGTTTTGCTGTGACAAAGTGAATCGAACAAATTTCTGGGTGATGTTATTGCTATTGTTATTGTTTCAGGTGTGGAAGGTCTTCGTAAAAAGATCGCAATGAAAATTGATCATCGTAAAGCGAGTGGGACATTTGGATATCATCGAAAAAAGCAGGTAAATCAGGTGATTGCGTCATCGAATCTTATTGAAATAAGCGTTTATTTGTTGAGGTTTGATTAGTCTCATATGGTCATATTATTACTTTGGTTATGAAGAAGAAGAAAACATAAATAATCGTCATCGTTTAGAGTGATGTTAAACTGAATGTTCAGTAAGTATTTATTATTTGTTCCAAGATGTTCAGTAAAATTAATGTATTCTCAATATATTAATAGTGATGATTATTGTATATATGTGAACGAAAATTTTTATAGGCCCAAGAGAGCGGAGGAGGTGCAAGTGATAGATGTGTAGGCCCAGGTGGTGAAATCGAGTTAGATGTGATTAGTGAAGAGGCTCGACAAACAGATTTCATCGTGGAGCATTTAGCAGATTTGAATGATGGACAACGAACGGGTGCTGATAGTACTGACAATGATAAGCAGTTAGCGACAGGCTTAATAACAAGTAATAATAATAATGTTAATGAACGTATTCAATATCAGTTTGTCAACAGTTATCAATATCAGCATCATCCTCATCACACTGATAGCAGTGAGCATGAAAGAATGAATGTTGTAGCTAATTTGGATAAGAATGATAGAATGAAAATGAAGAAGAGTGTTGATGCACTGTCACTTCAGCAACCTTCAGTTGTGGTCGATGATAGCAGCTTGACAACGAAAGGAACAAGAGCGGTAAATATTACGAGTAATCGTAATGAAAATTTGGTTCAAAGTGCTGATGATAATGATCAAAAAGATGGAGGAAAGGGACAAAAAGAAGAAATTGCTTTTTTTGGTGGTGAACGGACGACAAATTCAGCAGCTGGTGATGCGCGGGAGAGAAGGACTAGTAGTGGAAGAACGATTCCTATTGATTTGGGCCGAGGAGAAGTAATAAGTGAATATGGGATAAAGAAAAACGATAACATTGGAAATGTTCATGACGGTGGTGGTCGAATTTACTCACCAGTGCAATGCACACTTCCGTCGTCCAGCGTTGTCGTCGATTCATTGAACACGTTATCTGTGAATATAAATTCAAACGACCAAACTTCCGAGCCAGCAGAATCACGCTCCTATTTGGTGATCACTAGTATCCCAGACGGGAGTCATGACATAGCAACAACAACAGCAATAAGATCAAACAATATTTATAATAATAATAGTGATAATGAATCAATGTCGAAATGTACATTGGTTCAAAAAGTAATACCTCCTGATCATGTAATGTCAACAATAATATCGAGAATAAGTGAAGGCACAACAACGTCGAAAAGCAGGGGTGACACAGATGCTGCAGTCACTTTCAGCAGACCTCATCATGCTAATGATAGTGGTAATTACCGTCGTGTTCTCCAGAACATACAACATATAGATAGTGCTAGTGTTGAGTGCGAAACTGATGAAGAATGTGAGCAGGTGACACAGCTCTAAACAACCATATCGACAGTGTCCTTAGACCGGTTGCGCCTGTTTTTTAGTCGCGCGGATCCATTCGGCGACAAGACCGTAGTGCGGACGCTTTGCTCAAGCTCTTTGACGCCTGGGAGATTTTTGACATTTCAATCGGTTTGTGTTTGAATTTCGTTGGAATCGAATGCAATGGATTGAATTGTTTTGGTTACTGTTTGATTGGCCAATGTTTCACAGTGGCAATCTGTAAGCGTCGTATGTGTATAGCCACTACTCACGGCTTTATTTGGGCATGATCCGTTCGAATCAGACTCGAATTTAGACGCAGGCAGCTGAGGGTTGGGTTCATTGCATTGCTGAAATACACTTGCGTTTATTGTTAAACTCGCACGAGCTTTATCGTCTTCCTTCACAATTGCAATACTGTTGATTTTGTGTTTTCGTTGTTTGCTGCATGAATGATTCATACTGTTGAAGGCGATATTTCTGCTATCACACAAATATCGTTCGCTGTTTGTTTATCGATTCTCTTGGAATATATTTATTTGGTTTAGTATTCGTGGAAATTATTATGTGTTGTATGTTTGACAATATCTGTTCACGGGTTAGTTTCATTAACAGAAATAATAGAAGTTTTTTTCGCAATTGGTCTGGGACCGCGAGTGCCATTTCAAAATAATTTGTTGATCTGAGCGAATTATCAATTTATTTGGAGGATTTTTTTCGTTCGGTTTTATGCGATGATGAACCTCGATGGTAATAGTATTGATAATACTGCTGTTGGTGGTGATAATAGTGAGAGTAACATTTTTTAAATCATCATCATTTTTGTAATTGATCGAGGATATTAATCAGCATACTATATCCATTTTTGGTCTTTCAAAGCTTCCAATGTTTGCTATGTTTCATTTTTAATAATGCTCATTTATATCCATGTTATAGTGCTCCAATAGAAATAATTGTTATTATAGTTCATTGAAATGATAATTATCAAGAAGTTTTGATAAGTACATCGTTTATGTGTGTATTTGTATATGTATTTATTTATTAAAACGTTTTTACCTTAAGGTGATGGAGGTAGGCCCTGTTCCTCTCCTCTCAAAACACTTGTGGTATATTCAACGTGAAGAAGACTCATTTGTTTTTATTATTGATGAGGTATTATCTCATGATAATACATCATCAATAATAAAAACACGGTATATTTGGAACGCTTTTTAAACATTGATTTCTTCAATCGTTATGATTTGTTGGATTTTTTTTGGTTTAATGTTATTATGATTAGTGTCGTTGTTAACACGGTTTATTAATAGTATTACTTAGGAAGTGTTTCGTATCGTTATTAAATTGCTTCAGTGGAGTATTTGTTGCAGTAGTGTTTGTAAATGTGAATAGTCATGTTGCTATTCAGTGGACAATTGTGATGAAATGATGATGTTGAAGAATGATTGTCATGCTTAGGCTTTTCATTTTACAGTCGCATAATTATTTTGTTCTTTGTTTACATTCCTTTATCAATACATTTATGGGCACGTGAGGAGGTGAAGTTCGAATGTGGAATTCAACTTCTATTCAAGAATGAATTCATCCTTTTCTTTTTGAGGTGGATTTGATGAATTTAGTATAATCAATTAAGATGGTTTCAGTTTAAGAACCGTTGTTTCAATTAATGCTTCTTTAATTGTTTGTAAGTAATCAAGAAGAGAGGAGATTTTAATTGATTCTTACTTGTTATAGAAATAGGCTATATAGGTTGCCAAATTATTCAATTCACTTGTTGTTTTTGATGTTGTTCTTAATGGTGATGTTCAGAAAAATTGCATTAAAATTTGTTCTGATAGGTATGTTATTCGTTCATTTTAAATAAACGTATAACATTAACATTAACCGATTAATGCGGGTCACACTAACATCATTTTCAGCTTCACTGTTATGCGAGCAAATGATTAATGTAAGGTCTGTGGATTACTTATAGGCGTAAACAGCACCTGGAAAGTGCCGGAAATCGGGTTGAATATTGATAAATGATGTAGCATGATAGCGAGCACTCTTTTCATACATACAGCGGATACTTGTAGTGATAAGTTCCGTCACAATGATTTTTTGACGACGCGAAGTAGCGAAAACATGTGCCACTTTCCTAGGTTGACGTTTTAGTGATCTAATTTTTTTTGGAACTTGCGCCGACTCACCACTTTTCATCCGCAAGTTCATGTTTATATTTCTCAACATCAAGATATTTAAAATACGTGTTCTTGAACCGATAATTAGAAGCATGAAAAAAAAATTATAGCACTGACAAGTGCTGAATTCAAGCTTGTCATACTCGTACTTCTCTTAATGGGTTATTTTTAGCGGAATAGAAGCAATTAGTTGAATTACTTCTTCGGTAACGTACCCATCACTGAGTAGAAGTGATGTGAGGTGTTGTATGTCGGTTGACTCTGTTGATACGAAGACAACTGGCGTTAATGGTTGCATTGAATGAGAAGTCAACAACGGACGGAATGCGCAAATACGTACTGAACACTTATCATCATTTATTGAATTGAGTTAAAGATTATCACATTGAAGAGAAACGAGAGACAGTGTTCACTGGAAAGAAAAAAATATATGCAATAATTTTTAAAGAACAATTGAATAAAAGAATAAATTTAAGGAAACAGGAAATTACTTTGGATAGAAGAAAATGAAATTAGATTAGATCAACTTGAATCGAATTACAAAATGAAATTTATGTGAAATACATTGATGAAGGAGTAGAAGATACAGTTGCGGTTGCGATAAAATAAGTGATTTTGTTGATCAATTTTTGTGGGAAGTTCGTTCCATTTATCTTTTAATTGTCGAAGTTATTAATTACTATCGCGTATTCTGCATTTCAAAAATTGCTCTCAAAGTATTACTTGAGATCAACTGATCCAATGAGTTTATGAATCTGCTTCATTCTTGAACCGGTAATTAGAAGCATGAAAATTTTCTTTTTCTTTGATAAAGAATCTTCAAAACGAGAATCATTCTGACCATTTAATACAGTCAACATAATCATAAGGTGAAGCTAAACAACGCTGATGGTTAATGAAGGTGTAAAGATTGAAAATTTTGATCAAAGTCATATGTAACTTCACTTGTGAATTATTTTTTCTTGGAGGACGTAGATTTATTTTAAATCAGCTGAGCAATTAAAGAATATGTATATGTTATATTTTAAAGCAACAAAATAGGAAACAATCATGTAAACAAGAACACATCACTAATATAAAAGTAATGAAAACAGGAAATATTCATCATGATATTAATGATAATAATGGTATTATTATCATTTTTCTTTTAAAGGAGAATATTCAAACAAAACAATGGGAAAAAAGCTATCACGCACGAGATTGAGAAAAAATTAAATAAATTAAATAATGGTCACGTTTATTTCGTATTCTTGTAAACTTTTCTTCTTGAATGGAATGATGAGGATATTATTTTTATCAACACTTTCAAGAATTCCTGTCATCCTCATTAACTAATAGGTGCACCAAATCATCATCGCTGAGCACGTTGGCTATCTAGAAGTTTTCATAATTTTCATAACCCAGCAAGCAGTTCGAATAATTGGCCAAATCGAGTGATTTATCAGTTCCCAAATAAACGATATTTTGCCAGTATATGATCAAATTCGAAACGAAATAAACATGAAAATTTAATATTATCATATAAAAAACTCAACCACGACGATTATGCTTCAATAAACCGAGCTCTTTAATTGCTTTATATTGATCTGGAATCTCCATTAAAGCATTCAACGCAAATGACGCTTCTTGATTGGGTGTATTATACATCACCTTAATTGTTTGCATTATTATTATCATTGTTTCTGTACGTATTACTTATATGATGCTTAAATTGAATTAGATTAATAAAGAGCAGCATCTGCAATACAGGTGCTTAGATGAATCGATACTTTCATAATAATAATTATCGTTACGTTCTTTCTATAATGATTATCAATATTGTCAAAGATACCAGTCTTATTCATAAGACTGGAATCATTTCACTGATAGATCAAATCACTACTGATGAAATATCCTGCATTGAAAATTGTATCACTTAAAATGTTTATGAGGAAATTCGATGCATTTATTACTATTAGTTCGATTATGAGGGCTTGCTAATTATGAGGACATTTGAAGAAGAAATCAAATCTTACCTTGTGAAAATCAACAAAATGAAAATTGTCAAAAATTCGTTTCGGGAGTGTTTCGTCAAATCGTGTCATCATGCTCCATGGGCCATCACCGACTCCCACCCTTGAATTCATAATATTAGATTCACTATTTTTTTTCCTTAATTTCAATTCATTACAAGTTCTAATTTAACGTTGTTTTTCTTGTATTTTTATCTTTATCAGTATTGTTTTCATGATAATTTGATGTGTCCAATACAATTATTCTTCTTCTTTTGATTGCCTCAATATTCAATAGTCAAACGGTTAATATGAGAAGATTGTTCTGTTTTGATGAAATCGCCCCTGCTACACAACACCTTCGCCTACCTGGTAGGCGATATTGCCCACACTGAAAAACACTGATCTATTGTGTGAAGCAGTGATACAAAACGTAATGATAATAATAATGATAATGGTAAAAGCTACATAATAATGGAAAGTGGATAATGAGATGCTGCAGCGATTGCTTTCTGATTAATTTTCTCGTTGGTCACTTGGCCATCTGCTACAATCACGAGTATATGGTAAGATTGCTTTTCACGTACAATTTGTATTGCCTGAAAATTTAGATGAGGATTATTTAATTAATTGATGGAGGACTTGTTGAATTGAAGTGAGTTTGGATAATGACGGTGAAAAGTAATGATGAGGGACGTTAATGGTATCGATATATCTGTGTGATGGAAAGCTGAAAATTAGTTTATATGTAATCGACCAGTTTGTGTGATACTGCAAAGTTATAGACAGGAAGAATGGCTCAGTGATAGGCTAGCAAAGGGCTAACTTCTACAAGTGAAAAGTAAATTTTGCTAATTGACCTTTTCGATAAGAGGCACAAAATTTGTCGGTCCAGACATATTGATGAATGGTGTCTTCTCGTTGTAGACTCTCAACACTTCTGCAAAATATTCATCTTCAAATTGTACATATTTGATAATGATACGATGTAATCATGATATGGTTGAAATGATAATTTATGTGCAAATTCTACGTCTACCTTCAAAGCCATTGCACTCTAGATTGAAATCATCTCTGTCATACAAATTAAAGATTGCTTGATCTGTTGTTTCTTCGTCACCAAATCCAAACGTTGGAATTACCCCATCGGCATCGAATGACGAAAGCGTTCGACCAACAATTTCGATCACCTTTAATAAAAAGCAAGCATAAAATTTCGATTCTCATTCAAGTCTTTTTACCGAATTTTCTGCTCCCAACAATGTTTCTGATAATAAGAATCCATCTCAATCGTCACATCATATCTCAATTTTTTTTCCAATTCGAAGTCAATTATGTACCGCACTGTGTTTCTATCTGGAATCTAGCAGATGTCTATTTAGATGTTATCTCACGACAACATACTCAGCTTATTTATTTTATTGGAAATTGAAGTAGTTTTGTGTAATGGAGAAAGATCGTTCCTATAATTGGATGGTATATATGGTATGGCTGTTGAGCCTTAACATAGCATAGTTGCTGCTGATGATGATGTTAACCTGTTGATAGGGATTCATCTCTTCGCTGTTCAGATCATGCAGGTTCCTGCCGTCGAACGTTTTCTCGCCTTGATAATAATTTGATCGTGTGTAATCGATTCCAAATATGAGATTTGAATACTCCAAACCAGCCTTAAATACATATATTGTTATGATGCGTATATGAATGTTTGGACTGCTTGTTGTCCGTCGTTAATCGTCCAAAAAATGCGAATAATGAAAAACAGAGTAGGAGGTTCTTGATAGCTGATGAGAAAAGAATGGGCAGAGGAAAGCTCTAAGAAAGAATTGAAGAGTGGGTGCGAACGAATGAACGAACTCGTTTAATGCCCCTAATAACATCATCGAGCGTTCTAAAGTGTGGTATATTATGTGGACTACCCATAGCTAGTGCCATCAGAAGACTATTTCGACGCATCGGTACACTGAAATTAAAACAGTTCATTTAGATTGAGCGTCTGATTTCTTCGAGTAACGCTTGTTTTTAACGATAAGTTGTTGTATTGATGAAGTGCGTTATAAGGTTATTCATGAGGTATTATACTCATCTTATGTATCCTTTATAACGTAAAATTACTGAGAGGATGGGTAACTTCTTACAAATTGGGTGCTTCATTTTGTTTGATAACAGCACGTCTGGATCTTGATTCGCGTTTCATCGGTTTTTTGACGATCGATGGTGCTTGTGGTCGTTCGACAGTCATACTCATATCCATTGAAAGCGTCTTCTCAGTTACTTCGGCCGCGAAACTAACTCTTGAAATGAATCGAAGTGACATACAGAAGTTTTTAGTATTTAAAAGGGTATGTTCATGATTAAAAGCGAATCTGGTTTATCCTTAATCTCTACCTGTCTTCATTGCTTCTTTGTTATCGTTATCGTATAATTCATGATGTTATTATATGAATCAATCAGTATGTTACATGTTTGTCTTTGATTCGATAGTCGCTATGTTAAGCAAAAATGAGGTTTTGTTTTGACGAAGCATTAACTGGAGCATTTTGTAAAGAAGCAGAGGATCAGAGAACTTAAAAAAAATTGATCTCAGATTTAGGTATGAGTTTATACTGATGATTAGTTATGTTTTGAGCAATCTAAAATCAAATTTAATGAAAATATTATCTGAGTTTATTTGTTGTCATTAATTTTGGGTGTTGAAAATGTTGATCACTACGTGTTGCTAATGAGTAAAAGATTAATAGCAATTAAATGATGACCAACCTCTTTTCACTCTTTTCTTCCTTCCACTCATCTCTTGATTCCTCATGATGTCGTAATTCGACTTCAACTGGTGTCGTACAAACGATTTGATCACTCTCAACAATCGTAACCGCTTGTTGTGTTTCGGCCTCGGCTGAATGTCGAGCTGCGTCACTTTGAAGCCGTTCATCGGTTCGAATAACCGTCTCCTGCGCCGAATCTGTTTGTAAAGAAATATTGGTTATTTGTTTAGCGCTTTGATGAACATGCTCAATTTGAATGGTCGCCTTATCATCATCACGCTGAACATGCTTCGCACGGCCACTCTCTTCAATAGTCTCTTGTTGTTGCAATTGAAGTTGTTGTTCTTGACTTAATTCATGTCGTTCGACTGTGCATCGTATATCATTTTGATGTTGTTTCTCATATGAAATTGTTGCATTAAAGGTTGTCTCTGATGTGGCTGCAAATTTGGCTGCAAAACGGCCACCATCTACAGCTATTGCACAACGCACTACTGTAGATGCTGAACGTTTTTGTTGACGAGTATTGCTTCGGAGACTATCGCCGCCTCGGTGACCTTCGTCGCTTTCTGAAGCGGCATCAATAAACACTTGAATATTGATAACGGATTCGTGGGAAGCCATCGTTTTGAATGCGATGGGTGTGAATCGATTGGCTTGTTGTATTTTTAAGGACGACTGTGCGAACGATTGACTTTTCTGAAGGCTTAAAAGCACGTCACCAAGATGGTTCTCAGTTGATGCTCTACATTCGAACGCCATCAGTCCACCATAGCGTTTGTCTGCAACTGTATAGCTTTGGTGTAGCAGTTGCTGTTGAGACTGCAGTGAAATATTCATCGTCTTGTTTGTTTCGAGCGATTCATTCGTCTTCATCTCTGTTGTTGACCCTCTATTTGGAGCATTCCGAAGCGTACTTACATGGTATTGTCGAATCTTGTTGCATTCTAATTGCCATCTACTTTCAACATTGCACTCTTCAGAAGCCATTAAATTCAACCGCATTGAATGACACCGCGCGATCATTTTCCTTGTTATTGAAACATCACCATCCATAGACGGTGGTGCTCCAGGGGTTGTCTTTTGTTTGTGAAGATTCACTTGAATTGAAATATCGTTTTGTTGCGCACAACCTGCTTCGAGTTGAATTCGACCACCGAATCGACATTCATTCAGCACGATTTCGGTGTAATCATGCGATTCCACAGCTCTCATTTGCATATTTGTATATTCATCGTATTCAGTGGACTCCTTCAATTTGAGCATTACTGTGCTATCACCACGTCGCGCTATCGTTCTTGTTTGTGAGATACTATCGAAGGCTTGGGATTTCTGTAGATGAGCCGCAAAGACGATAGTTTCATGGCTGACAGCCGCCGTGTAGAAGGTGATCGGCTGAGTCGTATGCGCCTCGAAGCAACATAACTCGACATCTTCAAAACGAGTCTTTTTGCTCAGATAGATTTTTTGTTCGATTTGGTTTTGTTGTGCAGCTGCAGTCGCCAGACAAATCTTACCACCTGTACGCTTTTCAGCGAGACTCTTTGAAATGCTAGCAATAGATTGAGGTTTGATGAAATTGAGATGTATTCCCTCTTGTACACTGCTAGCTTCATTAAATGTAGACGTTAATTGCTGATGATACTTATTTGCAGTGATTATTTTATGCTCTACCGAGTGGTGCGCTTGTATGTGTGCTTGCTGTGAATATGAGCATGATGCATGCTCTTCACTCGAATGCATCGTGCTCAGCAATTGATTTTCGCCCGTATTCATCATTTTGAGCGTCATCTGAGCCGATGCAGCCGTTTGCCGTTCCTCATTATCGGCCACCAATGTCTCATTCAGATTCGTTTCCGATTCTTCAGCGAATCTGCTCACAAGCACCGCTCCACCACCATAGCGTTTTTCGGTCAACACAATGATTGCATCTAATAGATTATCGCGATCAGTGCGTTCAAAGTTGACATTAGTTACTTCATCAGTTTGCGAACTTTCGGCGCATTGATACCGCACATTTTCAATATTCGATGTTTGGCATATTTTTGAAACGCTTTGCGATGAAGAACGATCATCAGTTTTCATTAAGGAGCTGATTTCGACGGTTTCTTCAGAGCTGCTTGCTGTGCTATAGTGGATCGGTTTGAGGCGATTAGTGATCTTGATTGCAAATGATGCAGCGTTCATCGATTGTCGTTGTCTTTCTAAACTGAATGTTTTCGTGACTGTTTCATCGGAAGCAGCTAAAGTTTGAAGCATCCCAGAGCCGCCATAACGTTTTTCCTTTCGCACATATTCAACGTTATCAGCTACTGCATCAGGACGTCGAAATTGATAATGTGTTATCTCTTGCTCTTCACTCATTTCATTTAGTCGACATTGTATTCGTTGTTGATATCTGTTGTCAGTTTTTATTGTCACATACTTCTCAGCCATCTCAATGTTTCGTCGTAAAATTTGCTCGATGGTGCTCACTTCGGATTCAGATTGTTTCGTACTTAACATTAACGGCACTTGATTGTCATTCGACACATAAATTGTTTGAGAACAAAATAACTCAACAAAACGGTCCTTCTCGAGCCAACAATCGAGAATGCATTCGTCAGAAGTACTCGATGCAGTGACGAGTGTAAATGAACCGCCATCTCGGGCCATTGCAATCAAATGACCTGAAACGTGCGTCGTTGAACCTTTCTTATAATACGCGTTTGCAGTTACCTCTTCATGCTCATACTCTTGCACGGTGTACGGCGCACAGCATCGTTCAAGCACCCTCTCTTTTAAGACGGCATTCACTTCCTCTTTATTCTTATTCACAGTTGCCATCAAATCTACTTCAATCTCATGCACTTCACTTTTGGATGCGTTTAGTGTGGCTTGTATTTTCAGCTTCGGGGGACGTTCGACAAGCAGTCTGCTCGAATGCAATATAAACGCCCGGCTGGATTCAAGTTGACGGCAGATAGTAAGTTGATGCTCTTCGGCGGCATCTGTTTGCAGAAGCAGTCTACCACCGAAACGTGCTTCATCAACAACTCGTTCATCGCTTCTCAAATGTTGCTCATCTTTCGAATATTGCAAATAAGTTGTCTCGTTGATCAGTGAGCATTCCAACAAATTTACAACAGTTACTTCTTGATTTGCTTCCTTGCATACAATATCAACGACCTGACATTGTGCGTTTTTCGACCAATCATAAACGCACACTGTCGAGCGTTCGGTGGCACATTTTGTTTGTAGCGGCATTGGCTGTGCACAGTGATTGGGTGCGTTGAACGTTGCGTAACTATTCATAAAGCATTCATTCTTCACCAATCTGAACTCACTCTTGCAGTGATTTTCTTCAGCAGATTCGGTATCCAATATGAAATGACCACCGAAATGAGCCAATGGATAAGTGATGGGAAGTGCATGAGAAGATTGTGCATTAATTTTGAAATGTGCATGAATTGTATGCATAATCTGAGTTGATTCATTGAAACTCGCGTTGACTTGATCCTTTCGAGCACATTCCCGATACACAGCAGCTTGTAGATGTTCAGAAGGAAGCTTATTACATGTGAGTGTCTCCGAAATAGTTTCAGTTGTGAATGCATTAACGGACAACTGCAGTGTGGCGGTGAACTTGTGTGGTTGCTGGATTTTGACCATTTCCAGTTGGGTTCTTCTTGAGAATTGCAACGTTGCGCTACGTTCGTGCTCTTGTGTGGCTTTCGTTTTGAGCACATAGTCACCGCCGAAACGTGCATCCACTAGACAATGTTCCACAGCTGATTTATTTTCATCTTTCGCGTATTGCAAACCGATTGTAAGTAAATGTTGTTGTGGTTCCCATAAATCCATCAATACCGGTTGTTCATTTTTATTGGCAATGTGAATGATTTGCGAAATATGGCTATGTTCTGACGGAACATGGTGCTGGTATTCGATGAGTTCAGCGGTCACATCAAGTGCGGCTTTAGTGGTTAACAAGAGAGGTGATGCTTCATAGCGTCTACAAATCGCCGAATACCAATCACAGTCAGCGAAAGTAAGTTGCTTAGATGTGAGTTGTACGAAGATTGCACATTTCTCGTCGCTATATTCTTCAGTCTCAAATACCAAAACAGAACCGTAACGATTCGCTAATGGCCATGTCTTTTCATATTCATCATGAGCGACTGGTTTGCAGTGGATGTCGACGAGCATTTTGAGACGTTCATCACTGGCTGCATCACATTCGAACTCTATCGGCTCAATGCTATTTGCAACGATTCGTCGACATTCAACCGAGAGATCGTCCGGCTGCTGTTGCGAGGAATTACGGCGACGGTTAATATGTTGTTGCACCGCAATGTAATCACTTTCACTCGCCTCGCATTTCACATAAATTGGTTCAACTGAAATGTTCAATCGATCAGCCCATGTGCATTCGTTCGTAAAAATCTTCTGACGTTGTGCTGGTGATACTTTGTGCAGGTTAATAATCACATTCATTTTCACTGCTTCACTTTCACGAACACGCATAACAACTTGTTCACGATGTGCATCTTTTTCCACTGCAAATGTGGCCTCATTTTGTGCTTGCTTTTCCAGTATGATCCCTTGCGAATCGCGCAACTCGATCTCAAACGTTCGCTCACAACTGTCAAACACCAGATCTGTTAGGCAATATGTTACATCCATTACTTGCTCTTTTTGATTCCATTCCGCATTCACTTGAACATTCTCCTCGGAACTTGCCACAAGTGCAACTACATGTTTCACGTTAATTCTATCATGTAATATTCTGTAGGCTTCTAAGTCCCTATCAACTGTCGTCCATTCAGAAAGTATCTCGAACGCATCATTCTCGTACTCGCGCAATTTTTCTGCAATCAAACGTTCACGATTTGATGAATGCAGCACATATTCCGCATCTTCTGCAGTTTTTTGCAGTACTTTCGTCTGTAACAGATCGATATTTTGTGCGGTTGTTTCTTCAGTTGAGTGAATGGTATTCAACTGAACGTTATCCGTACACGAGATCGCCAAAGTCCTGTTCGTATCTTCTTTGTTCTTTGCTGAAGGTACTTCCAAAGTAGCCGAAACGCTTTGGAAACATTGTTCAGCGGCTAAAGTGTCGAGTGTTTGCGTTAATGTTGTGCTTATGCTAACAGTATGACTTGCATTAGCCATCTTTTTGGTGGCGCTTTTACGCATCAATAATATGCCAGCATTTGCTTGTGTATCACCGAATTCAACAAATGCACCCGTGACATGATCAACCATTGATGTAACTGCCGATGCTTCAGTTTGCATCCACTCGCTCTTTTTTGATTCAAACAGTTGTTCGTGACTCTGTTCACTGATAGCAAAATTTTCTTGGTAACGTTGAAATTGTATCGCGATCGGTATAGATAATCCGATACTATCTTCGGTTGATAGCATTTGAAGTTGTTGAGCGATGTCTACCGAACTACTTTTTGGAGCTTGCGTTGAGATCGAGGCATGATCTCTGAAAGTCTCGTAAACGCTTACTTCAACATCCTCTTCATTCATCACTGTTGTGCATGATGTGTCGATGAATTTCGCTGCTGCACTCGCGTCAATTTCTCGCAATGGTTTGCTGAGCACTTTCGCATGACTCATTTGTTGAATCGTTTGATGAACCGCTGAAGAAGTATCTTCCAAATTGACAATGCCCGTATCTTCAATCGCAACAGTTTCTTCGTGTGCAGCTTCGCATGAAAGTTTACTGTCCATTTCGGTTATTTCTTTGAGTGAAAACACGTTTGAGTATTGCGTTTGTTCGTCAACACTCAAATGAATGTCATCTGCAGTGATAATCTCATGCTTGCTAGCATCTGTTGTAAACGTTTCTTGCCATACTCGTTGCAGCGCACATACAATTTCATCTTTCTCCAAACGCTTCCTAACCGGTGCTGATATTCGATTAAAGTAGGCGATTGCCTCAGTTTCAGTGGAGCCAAACTGTGGTACTGAAATTGCGAATTGCTGAGATTGAATTTGCTCTATAACATGCACACATATCACATATATTTGTTGTTGAGCGTTCTCAAACATTACTTGACAGTATTGTTCGTTGATAGCGAACTGCTCACTTTCTGCACAGGCCTCACATAGTAAACGCGTTCGTATTACGGTACCGGTACTAAGCTGTTGTTGTTGGTTTTGGTGTTGAATTTCTGGTGATAAGACTATGACATTCTCTTCAGATGATTTTGTTGTCAGTGTTTCGCTAATTTTTAAGATTTCATCGAATTTGCCTTCAGTTGACATCTCTCGCACTATCTGATCCCATCCGCCGATGTAATTCTTTTCTTTTACGCTTGTCTCGATCAAATTTTTCGACGCTACTTCGGATTTTTCCCTCAAAACCATGGTCTCTTGCGCGATCGATTCATCAGACTTTCTGGATAGATCAGTCGTATTAGAGCTGAATGATTCGGCAGCAGCGTTCATGGATGATGAAATTGTACCACCTTTTTCAATCTTGAGCACTTGAATAATTGCCTCTTCGTCAAGTCCCGTGATTCGTTGTTTTTCTAGTGCGCTCGACTGTGAAATGCTTTCTTCTTTTGCACACGTCAACCTTAAAGGAATCTTCAAATTTCTTTGTAAATTCATCTTTACTTCAACACTTTCAGTTGGTTGACGCTTCGTAATCCTTACAAACTGTCCTTCAGTGCTACATTCCTCGTTACCCTCTTTTTCAAAATATTCCTCGTCTTCAACATATTGCTGTTGTTTTTGTTGATTTTCAAACTTTTCTTCAACCATCGATTTTTGTTCAGCAGTTGTATTTTCTATACATTCATCCATTCCATGGAAACTGATTGTCCATCCACGTTCGATGGATTCCTTTTCGTGCAGGTGTTGTTGCATTCCGACACCATCTGTTTCGTGTGATTTGTTGAGAATTTCGCCGTTTTCCGTATATGTTTTCTCAGAACTCGCCATTATCCGAAGACGCTCGTCTTCGAATTCCTTACTAGCTAAATATTTTTCAGCATCCGCTTCTTGAATTACAGTTGACCACTGACTATCAACAGCGATTCTTTTCTCGTCATCAGTCACATGTTCATCAGTTATTATTGCGCGTTTTGTGCCATCAGAGATTTGCCCGTGCTCTATTTTTTCAAAGATATCGCCATACTCAGAGTTCATTTGAAGTTTACTTGACTCCTGCAATTGTTCTGCGGTTGAATCTTTGACGAACTGCTGCAACTGCTGTTGTTGTTGCATGCAACTTTCTCTAGCAGAAGATTCAATGATCTTCTTGTCAGTGTGTTTGAATACTAGACTACGATCATAAATATTTTGACTATAAGTTGCTGATTGAATGTCCATCGTGCTGAACCTAGTTTCCGCATCACTCGGTACTTGATCATCTGTTTGCGTCGCTTGTGTCGTTTGAATAACAGACACGGTGTTTGTCGTCACCTCGGCTGATGGCACTTTTGCAGATGTAACTGTCATCGCAAAACTGGACGATTCTTTGGTCGTTGTTTCATCGACAAACGATTTCTTCTCGATTTGCTGCCATTTTTCGACATTTTTCGAATCTCTTTCTTGTTTTACTTGTTTCTGCTCGTCAGGACGAATCACCGTATCTACTGTTGTAATATAATCAAAATGTCTACGCGGTTGCTTAGATGTTTCAGTTTGTGTTGATTTACTAGAATAAGTTTGGATGGTTGATGGCAATTTATGATCCATATCCTGTTTGAATTGTTCATTTATTGAGTTTCTCATATCATCACGCTCAATTTGAATCATTCGTCGATTTTGTTGTCGCTGCTCTTCGACTTGTCGCCTCTCAGTTTCGCTTTTTATGCGTTCATGATTGTCGTTGATACCCTCAACTAGGTATTGTTGCTGCAGTTGAGACTTGTCTTTAAGGTTTCTTGTTTCAATGGCACGATTACGAATGTCACTGGATATTTCATCATCAACGTCTAGATAATCATGTTGAGCACGAACAAGTCGTTCGAGCCGTGTGGCAGAACTTGATGATCGCAGGTGGCGACGATTCGGTGACTGATAGTGTTCGATAGAAACCGCACGGATGTCCCGTTCTGAAGACCATTGATGGCGATACTCAAACGATCGGTAGTATCCATAACCTCCGGACTCCACTCGCCAAGCGCCATCATCCTCCTCATAATCATCGTCTAGATATCCGCTCTCCGAGATGCATCGTTGTGCATGCATTAACGAACGTTTGGCATCATCATGCAATTGCATTTCACGACGTATCGCATTCTCAGCAAACATACTTGCTGGAGTGGACAAGAGTACCGTTTCAAGATCAACACCCGCCTGCATCATCGCAATTCGTGCCGCACTCAAGTCATGACTCCAACCTCGGCTCGGATTCTCTTGCAGTTCCCTTAGTTCCTCTCGCAACCGTAACACTCGATCGAAAGGTGCGTGTTTCTCATCTTCGGTTAATGTCTTCACGGTATCCGCTCCACTACTAGCTGAGCGCCGACGATCCTCAGGCAGTCGTCTGATTTGGACCTCTCTTGCATTGGTCGACGACGATGATAATGATGAATGCTGACGGTAGTCTGAAGTAGAGCAGCGATAATCAGATGCACTTGAATGTGTGTTAGGTGACTCTGCTGTCAAACTGTACTCATTATATCTGCGCTGTCGTGAATCTGTGCCATATCGTTGTCGTTCGTCTACATTCGTTGTTGACTGAGATCGATGTTGTTGATCCAGGTGACGGTAGTAGCCTCGACGGTGCATATCATCATCTTCATACGCACTCATCACTGTTGTTGAAGTACCCGACAACGAGCCTAGGTCATCTTCGCAGCTGGCTGCATGTTTCAGTGGAATCTCGTCTCTGTCATCCACAAATGTCTTTCGAATACGACCGTAATCTTTCAAAATCCTGTTATGGAGATCGTCAATTTCATCGCGGATACTAGATGACACCTGAAGAGACTCAAAAGACGAATATTGCCGATCATTATCGATACTGTTTGCTTCAGCAGTAGCAGACACACGAATTGGTACTTGACGATGAATTTTTTGGGAATCGATCGTTTGCTGATCAATTTGAAACATTCTCTTGTTTTCGATCAGTGATGATACTGACTCCTCTGTATAATGATCACTTCTGTTCTCATTACTCACTTCAATTGGTACAATACGTATAGCAGTGATGTGTTGTTTAGTGATATTCTCTTCTTCAGTTTCAATTCTTTTCACTTGAGTATCTTTGCTTTGTTTTTGCTCCTCACTTTGTTTGCAATTATTTGATGAGGATGATAGGCTTGATGAAGCAATCACTTGCAACTGAACTGTATTTGCGTGGCAACTGTTAGTCTCATGCGCCGCAAGACTATTCGAAATGAGGGCCGATCTCCAGCGTTGGCTGCGTGCAACGTTTATCTCCACTGTACATGCACCACTTTCTTCTGTTCGTGTCACCTTGATCAGATAGCAGATTTCAGCCATACTCTCCACACATAAATCGTTGGTGTTGTTGCTAGACGGCCATGCAGAATGATCAGTTAGCGATTTATCATCCTCACTGAAACATTTCGTGTTTGTTATCTTTCTTCTTTCGGGCTCCTCACTGACTCTTATATGAACAATACGCTTCGACTGTTTTACGTTTTCGTTGTACATCAGATCGTTCACGAATTCTTTTGATGCTTGTGCTTCTTCTTCTTCATTTTCTTCTCGTTTTAGTTCGTTCCGTTTTTGTTCTTCAGTGTCATCATCCTCATCATGCTCAGCTCGATTATCCTGTACAACACATCATTATCTTATCACGTTCGAATCATCTGATTGATTAGATTGTGACTGACTCATTGTTTCTTTTATGGATTGACAATCGAATTTTCTCTAAGAAAGAAAAGAGAAGGAGACGAAGAAATGTAAGTTAAAGGAGTAGAAAGAGAAGAGGGACTAAATAGAGTTCATTTAGATGATTCGGACGAATAGATATGAGTGTTGATGCGTTTCGAAGAAGAAGAAGAAGAGTGCTGCTGCTTATTATCATTATTAATTAATCGTATCTTTAAAGAGGTGCATATGCGATCACTGATTCTGCACTGAGTATTATCTCGAGAGTTGTCGATATTGTTGTTGTTGTTATTGCTGTTTTGGTTGATGTAGCTGTGATGATAAGAGTGATCATCATCCTGATTGCAACAGGTGTTACCGTGCCTAGCGGCTAATGGTAAAATAATTTGTGCGGCACCATGCAAGGGTAAGAGCGTTTTGTAGTTAAAAAGATGCATTCGTTTAGTTGCGGTTGCGGTTAGATAATCTAGTGGCATTGTAACCGCATCATAATCACTACTCAACAAAAATTTTACAATTCGAATTCGGCTAGTATGCTTGAACTCACCTGTCACTGGCTCGGCCAATTGACCGACGGCTTGTCCGCGTGTTGCGCCTGAATTTTGTAGCATCACGGTCAAAGTCTCCACCTCATCACCGAACTCGGCCACCGTATAGCTTTGTTTTTGTCGTTCTCTCGTCATCCATCGCATACTTTCACCTTCCATTCGTGCACTTCTACTTAATGCCATTGTTAACGTTACGTTCGTTTCTTGACTAGACCTCATTCCAAGCTGCACTTTCGTGCATATCTTATCGCAAATTTGCATATCTGCGTTTGCATCGTTGCAAAATTGCGTGAAACTACTTCGAATACCTAAGTCAATGTGAATGCTTTCTTCAGTTGTTGCTTGTGTTTGGAATGTGGTGCCTCGCAGTGATTGCTTTTCGTTAATGAGATGTTGTGCACTTAATGTTGACGTTGTTGCCGAATTGTTCTTTAAGTAGACCATAATTGATGCGTTCGATGTTACTGCTTCGACGCACGAATGCTGAACAGATGTGCAGTTGGCGGATGCCAATTGAATTTGTGCTTGATAATCAGTCACTTCCGAAGATGCAATCATTATTTTCGAAAGAACACTCTCTTCTTCACTTGCATCCGTTGAGAATTTCACACGTTCGAGTCGTGCTTCTCGATGGATACATTCAGTGTGATAGTGATCGTACATTTGAGCAGCTGCTTGAGACTGCAATGCGAAAACGGCCATCGCTTGTTCTTCTTGGCATTCACGGAAACGTTCCGAAACGCGGCCAACGATCGATGCACACCAGTTGGTTTGTGTTTCTTGTCGCAGCTTATCTTGTTGTGTTGTCATTTGAATTGCTACGATCAGATCTGTACGTTCTTCTCCAATTTCGCGACCACTAAACGTTTCGAGCCATGCATTTCGATCACGCATAACCGCCTCTTCTTTCAGCGAATCAGATTGGTGTCGAGCGAAGCAAGCCGTCAGGTCAACTCTTTCACTCTCCAAACTTTCCTTAAGTCGGATTGGCGGTGGCTTCAGATCATTGGAAATCACAATAGTAACATCGAAATGAGCGTGTGATGTGTTTTTGACGAGATCCACTTGAGTGATTCCACCCTTAGGTTGTTGTTGCCGTTGTTCGGGTTGTTCATCTTCGACTGAATCTGATGAGATGAAATGTCGCGTTCGTTTCAAGAGAGCTTCACCTTTGAACTGTTGTCCAAGTTGTTGCATTCCGTAATTAGCCGGCAGTGCTTCACTGACCCGTTCGACGGGTGTTTCGTCGGCGGATTCGTAATGCATAATGCGCTGCTTCTTGACGGTCGTTTGTCCGACGAAGACTTGCCCTTGTTGCTGAATATCATAGCTGGCTGCTTCTGCTTGCTGTACTGCACTGAAAGCTTTCAGTGAAGTTTTGACGAACTCTAATCGAGGCATTGCAATCACTACACTGTTCCATGAACAGTCTTCAGTACGTACCAAATCACATTCAGTGATTGCTCGTCGTTTACTAGTCGCATCTTCTTCTTTTTCAACTAGTGATGATGCACTCATCAACAAATGACGTTTATGAATCAGTTCGAGTTGTGCTGAAAAAGTATGTGGCTCACTGACGACCACCTCATTTCGTGACGAATCTTCTGTCCGAATCAATTCACATTCAGCAAATACCTTCTCGCAACACTCAAAATCAGCTGTTGTTGTTGTACTTTCTGACGATTCTTCAGATTCTACTTGAGCAGACCGTTTAACCAGTAGACTTTGACCGCTGAAGCGATGTCCTTCAGTTTGAAGTCGTATATCAGTGGGCGCCGGCTGCTGTTCGATCGGCAGTTTACTTCGAGGTTTTGGTTGTAACTTATCGATATATTCATGACCAACGCGTTCAATGTGCATCGAGCTCAAATCCTCATTATCAGATGTACGTTCGTATGTGTGTGATGAAGTGAATTCGTCAGAAGCATCAATGGCCGCTTGATCAAGTTCTATTTGAACATGCGGTGTAGTAATTGCTTGCTGCAGCTGCTGTTGCTGCAGTTCAACTCGTTGACCAATGATATACGTCTTCAGCAATTTCGTTACATCTTCCACTACTTCCACTTCAACACGTGTTGTTATTGGAGGTTGTTTTGTTCCTCTCTTCGGCGTTGTTTTATTTTCATGACAATTCGCTTCACTCTCTTCAAGCATCTCCATATCGCGTAATAGGCGTTTACTGAGATGAGCCAAATATTCGGATTTGCTCTGAAAATATTTATTCGGATTGCATTTCCAGCATATTCGATCGTGTTGCAATATATAAAGTGAGAGACAGACAGAGAATACACTTGATTGATTGATTGATTGATTTCCTTAATTTTTACTTTTATTAGTTCACTTTTATCTTTGCTTATTTCATTTAGATGAGCAACTTCCAATATATCTTGAATTGTGTGTTGAGTTTGCCATTCTGTCTTATCACCAAAAGTATGGTTGAATTTTATGTTGGATGGATTGGATGGTTGGTAACATTGTGATTATTTTGAGCTGATTTGCTGAAATTGGGATAAAAGAAATGTTGGAAGTGGTGGTGAGGTAGGTTCATGATTGCCGCTTGCTTCTTTCCATTTGCTTGATCCACACCCATTACAGAGAAATCACTAGTGAGTTCATCAGATCCCATAAGGAAAGGAGGTGTCACTGACGAGAGCAAAAGGCGACGCACATATGTGGGCGTTTATCTTCTCTGAGTACGCTACTGAGCTTCTCTCGATGACCGTATAACCAGTTATTCGTGAACAGTTCACGGATCACCAAAAATCAAAACTTTTGTCAACAGAAAGAGGATAGGATGGCAGTCGTCAGCCATCCTTATTTTCAAAATTTTATTCAACTGCGGTAATCTTCATCGTCATTATTTTAATTCCGTTAGGATCAATTTGATGCAGGCAAGCAGGCATTTTTGCGTTTTGCACTTTGCATTTTTTTTGTTCGGTTTGCTGGAAATATTGTTGGAAGCGACAGCAGCAGTGGCAGTAATAATATTAGCAATAGCAGTAAGTGAAAAACTCATGAAAACATGCATGATCGTCATTAAAATCATCAGAAAAACGGGAAGATGATAGCGGCTAACCGAAAGCAGAAGGTAAGAAGGATAGATCAAAGCGTGAGTGATCACTAACAGCAAGCAACAATAAAAACTTTAGGATGAATTTTTCAAAAGAAACATTCAAGGAACGAAGGATCAAGACAGTACGTATGCGCACATTTACATACGCATACGGTATTCGTCACTCTGTTAGTGTTCGTCAAGTGCAACCAGTTCAGAATTGTGGACAGCAAACATGCAACGTTGGAAAATACCCTATCAAATCACACGTGCATAAAGGCGTGGTGCATCGAGAGTATCTATCTTCTTTTGTGAATTTCAATCTGTTTTTCTAATATATCACATCATGTTTTATTGTTTTATTTACTGTTGTGGTATACGTATGATTTGTCTCCTTCATAACATCATTTCTAAAATTTCAATCAGCCAGTTCTATTTTCAACTCAAATATTCAACTATAGTCAGTGCAGTCCTTGTAATATTATCTAATACCTTTCAAGTTGACAATGAGTTCAATTTTGCTGAACCTCATAACTACATAATAATCTACGAAAAATATGTGTGTTTTACTATTGTTTACATCAAGAATTGTTGAGAGGATGAAAATATGTGGCAGTGCTGCAATATAGGGATAAGGGTGATCAGTCGGAATTGAAGGAATCTTTTTGATTCATTGCAGTAGTGGCGTATTGGTGGAGACTGAATTTTTGAAAAAGATTCGCATTTATCTGAAACTATTCGGCAGAAAGAAACAGGAGTGATTGAAAAATTATCATCGATGAATCGAAACGAGAGAGGTTTCTTAAATGAGTATCAAAAAATTCAGTGAGGGATGGGGAATTTGAAGGGAGAAAGGTGGAGTTAACGGGATGATGTGCAAATTTGTTGTTATTTGCAGCACACAAAATGTGTTGGAGGCAGCAGGGGCGCCTGCTGTGGTTCTATTAGTTTTATCTGCTTGAAAGCATGACTGAATTAGGCTGAAACTTGGTCGAATGTTACGTATGATTTGGATGCATTTTGTTGACTGACACCTGTGATTGTTAGTGTTGTGGCAGCGTACAGTGCGATAAATCATCGCTTCAAGAGCGAAGTGAATGAAAAGAACATAGTTCAGTTTCAACGAGTGAATGAATATGTGCGAAAATAATTGTGGCTGTGAACCAACTGAAGAAACTGTTTTTTTGAACGTTTTCATCGAGGTGTTAAACAAACATTTCGTTTATTTTTGATGAATTTCCTTTGCAAAATAAAGTGATGTTTTCAAAAATTTCAGCGCTTCGTTCATTTTGAATGATTATAACCGAAAAAGTGAAAATATGGTGAATTGCGTTTTGTTTTTGTGTTCATATGAACTGAACGAAAAGATTGACAAAATGTCGATTCGCAGTGCTAGTAGGACTGTGGTGTAAACAACAAGACAAGAAATGCCACATAGTAATGGCGTACTGAAAGAAGTGGTATGTGAGGTGCGTTTGATTGGGTATTATATATTGGACGTTAAAAGATGAATATCACAAGAAATATTACGGATATTATAGATCAGCCGCTATCAGGGCTAGAATGTTGTGGATTGAATTTCTAGAAACGAATTCAAGAACAAATTACTTACTACTGCTATTGTTTTCATTAGTTTCTCAATACTCTAAGTTAGATAGTGGGTGGTGGCGGCATCCTATGAAGATTCTTTATTCCACGATGGGTGGATATTAGTTTTTAGGTGAGAGAATATACGTGGAGGAAAAGAGATTAATTTGTGTGTTCGAATGCGTTGAACACGATGAGCGCAGTATTGAGTAATAAGGCTTACGGAACTAAAACTAAAATTGAGATTTGTCGTTATTGGAAGAAATAGTGTAATTTGTTGATCCGTCTTTATCGAAATATCTCTTCTAAAAGGGAGAGGATGATGGGGGGATGGGGATGGGGGGGGGGATAGAGGATGGAAATCTTTGCACTGAAATGGTGCTCAACAATAGCCTATGATATGCTGTAATTTTTCTGTTTCATTTTTGATTTATTTTTAAGTGGTGAAGATAGCAAAAAAAAACTTAGAAGTGATCATGAGAAATAGCAGTTATTTAGAGAAAGTGAAAAGAAATAAATATCAGATAAGTGAAACGAAAAAGAGCTAATCAAAATGTGATCAAAAAAGGATGTATGATTTGTTTGAAATTAGTAACCGTATTCGGCGGTATTTCAATATCGGCTTGATGTTGCGTTTTCAGTTCATTCTCCTTGTAAACACTCATCTTATATTCGTTCGCGTTGCTGTACTCTTCTCCGTTCGGCAACCTACATTCCTCTATCACTAACGTCCGATCACCCATTGTTGTTTTAACCTGAATTAACCTTTTCAACGCAGAATATGATCTAGTTGCATAAAAACTGTCTCGTCATTCCCTCAAAATTTGTGTAGCGAAGAGTGCTCGGAGCTGACCTTATAATTAGTAACAGTATCCTTAATTGTCCATCCACTACTAAAACAATGTTCAACATTGCTTAGATCTGCACCAACGATCTTATCCATTTGTAATTTGCCTTGTACATTTGTCTGCACAGCTGGTGGTCCTCTCCTGAATATCATCATAATGTAAAACGTTTACTCATATTTCCACCTACTGAGATAGGTACCTGCATAGCTGTCGAAAGTTTGTCAACTTATCGCCAAATACAATCCAGATTGTTCCATTCAAAATTCACTCACCTTAACCCATCGCGGTATACGAGGAATGTTTGCGGTTTACCATCAGCGCCTTGTATCGTATGCTCTATGGGGCTGGTTGGACGAGGCGTCGCACTATGTTCCCTTAATCGTGCCGCATCCCAAGTGAAAACATTGGCTAATTTTAGTATTCCACCATCCTAAATTATTATGTGTTAAAATGAATTGAACTTTGTGGCTGGATTTGACGCGAGGAGATTGCATCAAAAGATGTTTCATAAAAAGATGGTGTCTTGTTGTTCGAATGAAATCAGCTTGAAAAAGGAATGAACGAACGTTTGTTCGGATCACTTTGTTCATTGAGCTGGTTGATGCTGATTTTTGCAGTTGGTCGGCAGCTGGTGTTAGGCGTGCCGTATTGCTGTATGAGATGGACGTCGAAGCTCCATCTCCAACTGCAGCTCTTGCTGTACTAGCTACTGCGGTTGCATCTGCTGTCCCACGACCATGATGGACACCACTTGGTATTGTTGTTGTTGTCGGCGTTGTAATCATAACATTGTGCGCTCTGCTTTGATCCGAAAGCTCCAATAAGTGACGTGTCGCCTCATCGAGAGCATCGCAACTCGACTGTGGCTGCAATCCAAATACATCTCGTTCTTGTTTAATGATAATTGTAATGATACTAATGCTCGGTTATTTTTGGTAATTATTTCACTGGATTAAACTTATTCATCCGCTCACCTGTTGTGATCGCCATGCCAATGGTTGCGGCATTACTTTTTTTGATGACGGCGGTCCGTCAATGTAATCATTACCATAAGTTGATCCAAATTGTTTGGATGATGATGTTTGTGGCACAGCACTTTGACCCCGCCTAGCTGGCAGTTCATCTCGGAACTTGACACTTTTCGGCGATACTGGCACAGACACTGAAATGATTTGGAAATTAAGATAGCTGAATATAATTTGAACTAATTCAAATATCCAATTTAACTGAAATCAAACGATTTTTTCAGTTGTGTGTTATTAGTTAAGATGAAATATACAACGGCTAATTGTTCATTACTCCATTACCTTCAATGCACTTTTCGTCGGAATAATATTGATAATAATATTTATCATTTTGTGATGATCAAATGAACTATAATTGATGTGATTATCATTGCTGAATTAATGCCAATAACAGTTAGAAGCAGTGATCAAAAGAGGTGGATTGATAACTGAATAAATTTCATACTTTCACGTTTGATATCAGTGTATTCATCTTCATCAGCCACCCGACTGGTGCTAGTCGTTATCATCTGTGGACTGTCACCATCTCGGGATGACGTTGTATACGATGATGATGAACCACCACCGGTAATCGGTCGAAAGAATTTCTGCAACCATCAAATCGAATTTATCCTATTACTTCACTAGATCTTATGTTCGAAAATTATCGAAATATCCAATTAAACTGAACGATGTTATCAATTGTTTCATTTCTATTTTTGTTACTATTGATTCAGGTTGATATGGCTCATCTAGAGAATGATTGAATTGGTTTACTGGCACAAAATGATTCACTTTTGACGCCAAAATCTCCTCATTCAACAGCCACTTTTATGTATACCTGAAAAAATCGAGCTGGTCGTTTACGTTGTTCTGATTCTGCACCGTCGCCTGCGCCAGTCCCTATGCTCATCGTCTTCTCATCATCAACTACGTCAGTCGCTGCCTCGATGTTGCTCCTTCAAAAATAAGACAAAAATTAAGTGCTGCAAAACCACTGATAACTTACAATCGGATAAATTCAATGAATGTGAAAAAGATACGTGAAATATTTGTTGATTGATTTGAGAAAACGTTGCTATGAAGTGAAAAAAAGATAACCTGGAATAAGTTGTGGTAGTGTTTTGTTGGTGTTGTTGCTGTGTGAAAAGGTGCTTAAAGCCACGACGTTTCATTGTTGTTATCTTTTTGTTCTTTTTTCGTTTACTATGCCTGTAAGAAGAGGTGGATGTTAAAAGCTTTTCTGAGACTGCGGTCGAATGCTCTTCAGTGACCATCTGCGAACTTGCATCATCATCAACAAATATTATTCCTGTCACCGTTGCAGCTTTAGCTTCTTCCTCATGTCGATTTTGATTTTGTGTTCGCATTTCATTAACCTCATTTCGTTGTTCCACTATTTCAGTTGATGCCACTCGTTCTGTTGTTTCATAAATTATGATTGGTATTGTTTTAGTAACGTGGTTAGTATTGTTATTGGTAATATCATTAGAAGGATGATGTGTAGTATCAGTGTTAGCTGATGCAGTAGGAAATGACTGAATGCTCGTCGATGGCGATTTCTTATTATTGGCTGCGGTACCGCTGACGAGGTGACCACTTTCATCCTCAGCACACGTCTTATTTCTTGTTTCTGCCGTAGCTGCAGCTCCATTCAACGAGTTCAAACGTCGACTAACAGCCAGCGGTAATCGAGAATCGCGTCTTGATCCAGCCGGCTTCAGAATCGGTTTGTAGACCTTCTTTGGTATATGACGTGAACCTGGTATATGATAACTGTCGTCGTCATCATCACTACCATTGTGATGTCGATTCGATTGACACTTGGATTTGAATTTGGACGATGAGGAGGATAGCAGTATTGGTGGTCGTGATGATGGTACTGGACTAAACTGTCTAGAGATATCATTTGTTGATTCATTTTGTTGTGGCTTATTTTTGTTGATCTTTCTTCGTCCATATATACATTTACATTTGGTACCTTTACAGCAAGCGCATCCAAATAATGCATTCGCAAACGATGATGGCATTATTATTATATTATTATTGTTATTGTTATATTTTATTAGCAGTCGCAGTTGCTCGAACAAGCGAATGAATTGATTAACAATTGCTTCCAGACGAATTGAATTGAATTAAATATGGAGTTGAGAATAAAATTATGCTGATGCTGCTGACAATTTGATATACTTTAGGATATGATTAATTTGCAGATTGAAGTAATGATATGGTTATGAAATGAGCAAAACCAAAGAGAACAGAATGCGACGAGGACTTGTCGAATTGCAATTAATGCTTGTAAATTGTCTTCTTCAGAAAACAGCAAATTGATTGGTTTAGCTCGATTGTTGCTAAACTATTGTTGGAATTAACTCATGAATCACTGACAATGAATTGTTTCGAAGTGGAATGCAAATGGACTTGGCTTGGGTGGAATGGGACAGGTTGAATTAATGGATATACAGCTTTTAAAGAAAATTTAAAGGTAATTTAGGTAATGATGAGCTTAACTGACAAATTTTAGACTGACGCAGGCTAGTATTAAATGGTTACAGTCGTGAATTCGAGGAGAGAAGTAAGGCTGATGGCTGCCTCAGGAGAAGGTACTTATTTAATGATTCTATGAGACGGATGATTATGAAAGCCGATCGAATCGACCGGAATGTTGTCGATTGGGTGGGATTTCGAAGGATAAGGTGGATAGATAGACTGATTTTTAAAGTAATAATGATTGATCGATTCAAAAGAAGGAGAAAGATAGAGACGGTTGAGGAGAGATCAAATATGTCTTATGTCATCAACTTGAAGTTCACATAAGTGTCACTGGTAACTATGTTACTGCTCTTGATGTAGATGTTACTGCTCTTGATGATACTTTTTAGTTTTTATTAAAGCCTTTTACTTGGTTTGTTATTTGTTTGATTGGAATTGTGGCATGGAATGGACTCGATAAATGAATGGATAGGTAAATGTAAAGATTTGATTGTTCATTCTTTTCTTATCCATCCTCATCAGGTGGATATTTAGTGGAAGGGAAGTAGTGCTTGTTCTCTGCTTCATCTACTGTTTGTTCAGTCATCTGTTCGTTCGTTTGAAATACTTGACTGGTTTTTGAGAGCTGATGAAACAAAGTTGACTACTTGCAAAGAATATGTTGCATTGTTTGCAAATGTAACAAAACACGTAATGAAGTTGCGCTATTGCTGTTGCCAGTACTGCTATTTCTGCTGTAGCATATAAGTTGAAACATTTGCAGTTCAAACACCTCGTATGGATATAGCAGATAGTTTAACGTCATCCACACGAATTAGGTTCCAGCTTGGTCTTACACTTAAGCTTGTGCTTGGACTGAAGCTTATAAGAGGTTGGAATGCACCTATATGTATTACTGAATCCGTATGAAGTTCACAGATTGTCGGAACAGTATTTGTTTTTGTTCATCCAGGCATACACCAAATACCTGGTCGTCAGTTGACAATTGAATATTGCAAATAAGGAAGCAATATCTTAACTGATTGACTGTAAAGGGTTTCGGTTCTTTTTTTTGGTTATAATGTATAATGCGTTAAAAATCCATAGATTTCTGACTGATTGGAAGAATTTGCGTAGTTTCTTAGTGATATTAGCTGGATAATTGCTTGACTGAATGGTGCTCAATAATAACTGCCACTGTAAAAAATAATAACAATTGACGTATGATTTTGAAGTGTTAGTATGTGCACTAGTGATGATAAGCGACCGACGTTCGGTCCGTAAAATTCGACGAATTTCGGTTGGAAAACCGAATTTCGGAGTGTTGAAAAGTCGATTCGGTCGAATTTCGGCCGAACTGAAATTTCGTTCGAATGCCATTCCTAATGCGCACTTGTAACCGGACAGTGGTGTACATTGGGTGTGATTTTTGTGGTGTCAGTAAATGAATTCGTTGGTAACGAAAGGAATTTATAAAATGATGCGATGCCATCGAAATGATATGAATGGGGTTTTATTATTGTTGTGGGCATTCGCATAGATAAGTTGTTGATAAAATTGATTGTTAACAACAATTATATTGTTTTGCATTCTTGGCGAGTTTGTTGTAAAAACTTTTAGGCAGTAAACTTGACTGCTTGTTTCTTTAGTGAATCATCGAATTGTGATGAGAAATGAGGAGGTAAAGAATTTGTTTTAGACCACCATCATAGCGAATAACATTTTAACATTTCATATTTTGTGGATGAATGGATGTTCGGTTGGAAGAACGGATGAATAATTGATTGCATTATGTATAACTCTTGATAAAATCTACGAACGTGCATAATTTGAAATTGACTTCAAGAATGAAAGAAGCCCAAAAATGCATTAACAATGAAAGCATTGATCAGTGATGCTATTCCGAGGAATTGCAGAATTTCACTAATGAATCTTTCATTCATTCTATCCTCCTAATCTCTTTTTGCAAATGCTAGTGATCATCTTTTTTTATCTTTTCGTGTTTTGTGGAAATTTCTAAAACCGCAAAAAATGTGCACCGTCAGTCAACTGCAGCAAGAGCAGCAACGTTTAGAAAAAGAAACTGAATGATGAACTTAGATTGAAAAGGAGGAGATGTTTAGAAGTAAGAGTTGTACTGTGTTAGTCAAAACATTTTAAGAATCCTATTGTTTTCACAGTCGTAGTCAACTCTTATTGGTTTTCCTTTACGTGCTCACTGTACCTCCCAGCATAAGAATGTAGATATTCACGTTTTTGAATTACACTCAAATTAGGCTTGAAAACTCGGGGAGTGCAGAAATTGTAGGCGATGATTTACAGTGGCCGTAGCACTGGTCATTTACAGTGACCGTAATCATACACCAAGATGACAGTTTAGCACCCTAATAAATTGAATCGACGTTTATAATTTTGCACTTTTTCGACTCACCTGTCATATATCTTATAGTGTTAACAACAAGAACAATTATAACAGTTTTGGGCTATTTGAAGATGCATTGTTAGATTGTTTGTTGGTTGCATTGATTACTCGTTTTATTATGAACATAGCATAGCGCATAGATAATAGTTTATAGATATGAAGAAGATATTCACAACTTTATTGGAAACAGATGGAATGCAAGCTGGTTGATAGGAAACTTCAGAGAACTACACCGCGATGATAAACAAACAGTACATATCTTTATCATATCTTCGCTTTAGCACACTCCTATCTTATTTTTGAAGTATCACAAATACAAAATCAATACTTATTTATTATATCATCAAGTCACTGAACCAGGCTGACTCATCACTTTGAGGAGTTGCGTGAGTTTGGAAACTGATTAGTTGGTTGAGTGAAAATTATGTTTTATGGAAAAAATTAGATAGAGAGAGGGATTTCAGGTGGGGCTAAACAGCAGAATAAATGATTGTTGCTAATGATATAAATTGCAACTTTAAGAAGAATACCCTCAGTATGAAGTGAGTTTTTAGAAATTTATGGATGAAGTATAGACCATGCAGAAGGTAATAAAGAATTTCAATGATGAATGAATGCAGCAGAATCAGCAGTTAATTTATTGGTGAGATGAATATTTCGAAAATTGTGATTGTTAATATTCTATCGCTATTGTTATAATTGTTATCATTATTATTATTAGTGACTATATCATTGTCGTTGTTATTTTATTATTATTATTATTGTTATTATTATTATTATTGTATTGATGAATGATCATGAACATAACTTACAAATTTTATTGATGAAGTTTTTTGAAGATTCGAAAAAGTTTATTTTTGACGGATACCCAAATGTCGAATATTGAAGGGAATCACATAGATTAATGACGATGACGTCGATAATGAAGACAAGGGGTGAATGTATCAAGGAGAAATTGATCGTTGAAAGGGAATTTGTTGCTGAGTGAGTGGTGTTTGGAAGGAATGGCAACGACGGGGTATTATCTGGCTGGCTGGCTGAGTGGCTGATGAAGCTGCGAGATGAAGGCCAGAGGAGTGTGATCACTAAGGTTTTAATGAACTGCTCCAGCGAGCGGGCGTATCGTATCGTGCTCAGGTCTGTGGCTGACTATGCCTAAGGCTGTGTAGCTGTAGCTGTTGGGGCTTGCTGCTGTTGTCTTCATTATTAGGCCAGTCTTATTATGACCAGCTGTTCTCGAACTATCTTTTGGTATGCTATCCGTTGATCACTACTGCAGTCATCCATCGAGCAGCGTGGGCAACACAATAAGCCTAAGGCTAAACAATTATTGCAACAATAACGATAACGCAGTCCGCAAATATATCTTAAATAGCCCATAGCTGTATTATTATTATTGTTATTATTAATATTAATTATTATTATTGTTATAATTATTACAATTGTAATAATAATAATAATAATTATTATTATTATTATTATTATTATTATTGTTATTATTATTATTATTATTAGTATTATTATTATTATCAATATGATGTTCCTTATCAATGTTGTTATTGTTTTTATGCTAGTGTTATTACTATTAAATATTTTTAGCGCAACGAAGGTGAGTTTCTAGCCAGTAGCTTCTCGCAATCCTTCTAAACGGGGAAAATTATCATTACGGATGTCTGATGTGAAAACGACAGTGCCAAAATAGATGGAGTACGATCAAAATAAAGTGTACACCGAATCCGGATAGAAGTTTATTCTATCAGCTGAGCGATTTATCATACACATGGGAACAAATATGAGCAGTAATGAGTGTAAAACGGAAACGCTGAGTGAAGTTCGCAAAGCTTATAAAACGGAACGGGCTGGTCGCGAAGTATGGACAGCTGGAAAGCTCGAGTTACCTTGAGTGCAGACTTAGGCCAAGCCTTAGACTAACATCTGGACTCCGATTCATTGCTGTTTTTAGACGTAGACTTTTACTCAAACTGGAGCTCCAAATTTCAACTCATCTATGCAGCAATGTTCTACGCTGTTCCCACTCCAGTGTTGTGGATTTTCAATGGGTCCAACAGTATGGGATTCGTAAGAATGTCCACTTGATATGGTACTACCTTAGCTGGCTGGTGGAAAGTTGCGTTTGTTCGATCATGTGAGTATAATATACAGATCGATGAGGTGATTTTGCATACAGATTACAAATAACTATGTATGAATTGGCTTGAGCTGAATTTTCGCAGTAATCGGGTCAGGTGATACTGTAATTTGAATGCTTGCCTTTGTATCAGTTGATTATTACGACATAATTGATGGATGGTTGGTTCTCTTCTATTAATCGGTAATGTTGCAGTGTTTTTGGCTGCATAAAAATAGAGAATGAATGAGTGCAGCGATCAATCAACGCAAATATTGATTGAAAATCAGTCAGAAATTCAGTTTGAAATGTTTCAAATCAATCAGCATGTCAAACTTTTGCAGCCTTCATTTTTATGTTATAATTCACGCAAATGATGTGGCCAATTTTTGAACTTAGTGCGGGTTGAGCGGTATTTACAGGTGCATTTTGGCACCCTGTAAGCCTGAGAGTAAGCTTGAACGGGCACTGGAACCGAATTGAAATGGATGCGGCTAAAATACACCTTTTCATAGTGCTACATTGGTACAATGTTGATAGATTGGCAACATCGCGTTTTTAAATGATCATTGCCTTAATTGCAGCATTCCAACGCAACAAATATTCAACGTTCTCGTCTTGCACAATCAACGGCTGACTGTCTCTTAACGATTTTATTCGTCTTCTTTAAGCTCTGTTTGTATATATGTATGTTGTTGATGTATGTTTGTGTTGTGTTGTTAGGATGGAAGAAAATGAAATCGATTAGTGGTTAACACGGAGATCGATAGATACATGGATGCATAGAAGGGGCTCGGTTCGGTTGCATTCAGCTGGATGCATACAACACTTCCTTGCAATGGATGCTGTGCATGTGACCAACCAGCTGAGCGATTTCACTCACTATATCTACATTGTGTCCTCGTCGTATGCCTTCCACTCAATTCATTCGACTTCACTTGACTAAAAGAATTTCTCTCCAAATAATGGTGGGAAACGACTGTGTAACATCATTACTTTTCAAGATGTTGTTTGAAATTACCGATAATGAAGAACTTTTTGAACCGCTGACCTCCCAAACGATAGAAATATTGAGTCTTCTAAGTTTTTAGTTATTTTTGGCAGTTTTTACATTTTTATATTTAACAAATTTTTGCATTACATTTTTAGTTTTTTAAAAGTGGAGGTTTTTTTAACATTACTTTATCATCGTTTATGAACTAAGCGATTTTTTTGATGAGTGCTTTCCAGTACTCATTAGAGAACCTTGATCGAAATTCTTTTTTTTCTAGATGACATTGCTACTGGTTGATAACGACATTGGGAGGGTGTTGTTAAACAATTAATTGGACGCTCAAATTCAGACGATGGTCTTCGTTTCGTCAAGTTTTACACGAGAATTTCAAACGAATTTTGTGATGTTCTTCGAAAAAAGAATGCGAATTCTTTATATTTCAGCCAGCTTTCTATGGTTATTAGAGGGGATACATACGTACATGTCAAATACGTAGAAGATACATACTTGAATTCGACATTTCATGTTGTTAGCATTTATTAATACGAAGCAATCTATTCATTCGTTCATTCTTCTTTTTTTTTGCATGAATATTTCATAAGATTATTCGTTTCTAGCAATAGTTTTTACTTGTACTGTCAAATACTTAAATGCGAATACACATATGTGTGTGTGTTTTTATACGCATATGCGTACATGTTACATAATCATGGATAGAAAACACATGATAATGCAATAATAACACCAATAATACTATTGTAAGTGACTCGGTATAAATATCGATAAAGATGTTGTTGTACCAATAAGGCATTTTCTATAGTAAGGATAATGTTGTAACAATGAAGCAATCAATCGATGTTCTTCATTTGTTTATGTTCTATTTTGTGATCAACAAGCAACATGCGTGCATGCCGTACCATGTGCTATACAATATTTCATGAATGCAGGCAGCATTTGCCCCTCACATTTATTCGTCCATCCATCCATCCGTTCTGTAAATTTATCGACTAGCTCATAAATCTGCTGATAGAAATTCGCATCAAATCAGTCCTTGCAATCTTCATGTCTTCGTTCATTTACCAGCACTCTTCTAGTTTAGCTGCCAGAACGTTGAAAATGAGCAAAATTTTTCGAAGTCGAAAGAGAAGGCTTTCTCATATCACTCTTTTCTCTGCTTTCAGTACGTGTATGCATTCGTTTAACAGTTGAGAGGTTTTTTGAAAGAACAGGTTGGAGGGGCAGAGAGAACGACAAATTCGAAACAGTATAAACACTATACAATGTAACAGGATTGTTAGGTATCATAAATAGTTCGTTTAACACGTAAACGAATGATGCTTTCAACGATTGCAAATGTTCAGAATGCTTCATTCACCTGAAGTTTGACGATTGTTGTAATCCATTTGAATTTAATGCTTAGAGAGGTCATGCATGACAATTCCGACTTGAGGGTTTGTTTTCGTGTTTATAGAATACGCATGTTAGCCTTTGGGTCGGAGCAGTGAGATGTTTCATTTCACAGCTCACTATTCAGAGCTATCAGAAGTTGTAAAATAATCAGTTACTTTTGTATTGGTATGGATGAGCCTCGTAGGTGTTCTGCACCCTATATAATGTGGGACTGAAACAGCCCGACTAAACCCAGTTGCACTCTTTAGGACAGGGGTCCTCATATGGCGGGGGAAATTACCCACTTTTGGGTAATTTGGGAGTGTCAGGAGGTAAGGGAGGGGTTGGGAAGATTAGTATTTCATTCAGTTGTTATATTATGATAAAACGCCATTGTGATGGTTAAAATTTTGTAAAGCCATCATAGAGGCAGGCGTTCGTCTCAGTTCATATCTACAATTGTGTTTTGTTCGAGGTAGGAGACAATCACCAAAGCCGCAGATGTCCATGCGGGGTGGGAGGGGGGGGGAGTGATAATGACGACTTGCCGGATCATCGAATGGGGTAATGGAGCATCCGAGCGTGGTGACCACTGCTTTAAGACCACCAAAATCATAAACCAATCTTCATCTCATGTATTTCGGAGCAATCATCCTCTTGAATTAAAGGCCATTGTCTGACGCCTTAAATATATTTAGCTAGGTGTTGTATTCATCGCAGGAAATGTTGCTCCTGAGTAGACACATGATGAAACGGCAATATCTTATAAGTAAAAGAGGGAATGAGACAAAATACAACAATAAAGAGAGATACGATGTGATTTATGGACGCAGACAATGATCTTCAAATGAGAGATCTTGAACTTGGAAAAAATTTTGCTCACTTTGAGTACTCTGGCAGCTAAATTAAAAGAGTGCTCATTTACCTCATCCGTCGCTCGTTAGTCGACACCACACCCCACTTCTCTTATCACTTGCCCTTACCACTCATTATTGTGATCGTTCCTAACAGAGTTACTGCCTATAGATAAGACTGATTGATTCTATACTTCATGTGATTAAGAATTTATTTCTGCATACGTACTTACGTATACAGCTGTCCTGTCCTTTCTTGCAACTGTATATTTGTGAACAGGTTTTTTGTGTTCGGTTAACCTCTTTCTCTCATAATTGATTTTCTTGTTTCGTTTGCTTTAATATTGCGTTAGTCTTTGAGTATTTCACGTTTTCGTTGAATGGACCAACTTATACGATCATCAGTAATAAAGAATATTAACACTTTAATATAATATTATCGTTGTTGCTATTGATATTTGGTTGTCATTATTATTCTTATTGTCATAGTGATGTTAAGCTGGCCATTTGGAAGATCGTGAAGATGAGATGAACATTTTTGATGTTGAATGAAGAGAGAAGTAATCCGACCACTCAGGCGTGCACATTACTTTCACGAGCGTACTCAATTTTTTGTCGATACTTTGATTTCTCGACTCAGATAATGCCATACCGATGGATGAATGAATGAGAACAACTGCTGCTTCAAATTGTCTTAACAGTTTGTATCAAAAAGAAGCAGTTGTGGATTGGATGCGTTATAGTATATGTATTTTTTGCTTATATAGAAACTATCTATATTATCGCACCATTTGTTATAAAATAAATATGACTGACTATTCATGTAGTATGTTCCAATGTAGATGCTTATATATAATTTATATTTATTTTATACATACATAATATTGATTCTATGAAATAATATTGCGAATATTTACTTAATGATTTATTTAGAAAATTCGATTCTTTTTTTTTACTTTCTTCCTCTACCTACTTTTCTCTATTATCAATTCGAACGTTCTCGAGCATTTTCGTTCGGCCTTATCATGGTCTTCGATAATTTTGGTCGTTCCCCTTCTCATGCTATTTCCAAAACATATTTAGCAATATCGTTTATTTTTCTGGTTTTATGCAATTGAAATGATATGTGCACAATTAATTACTTGTTTCTACCAAACGTCATTCTTATACGTACGTAATCGTAAAAGCGACATTCTTGAAAGTTGTCGACAGTCGGTTAGGAACACTGTCGAAAGTCGTTTTTAATGAAAAAGGTCTAAGGCTAAGCATAAGCCTGAGCGTAGTTGTTACCCTGAGGCTGTGTGAATTACACTTCAGACTTCTTAATTGTCAACACCTCAAGTAGTGTGTTGTCATAATGAACCAACTATTATAATTACCTGATTTTCGCCTATTGAACTGTAATAATTGACGTTTGTATTTTGAGTTGTGTTCTGTGTTCAATGCGTTTCAGAGAGGCACTCAAAAATTGCAACGTTTCAGTGTCTGATTTCGGTAGAGTATGTCGGTAATTGAAAATCTGAAAGATCAGCTGCAAACCATCTACGATGAACTGCCACAATGGGGTAAAGTGGCTACAGCTGGGGTGCTTGCGCTGACCGTCTACGTTCCATACAAATACTACTGTTCACTTCCAAGAAAGGCACCTATAAAAACCGATTTCAAGCCAGGTTTATTCACATTTCGTCTTTGGCTGTACTGTTCATTTATTTAATTTAGTCAATGCGTGTCAAGGAGGTATGATGCAACAATGAGGATAAACAACTAATATAAAAGCAACATGATATTTTCATTGACTGATTGATTAATTAGTTGATTCAACATATGATTTGGAATGTTCCTATCGAACTATTCACCGTATTCGTCTCATGTTACCGTCGTTAGTTAGTTGGATTTTATGAGCTGATGGCTTAATCTGAGCAAGTGAATTATCCAGTTCAGAAGGAAATGTTCTCGTAGATCATTTATAGAAATAAATATATTAAACAAAATATTTTTACTTTTTCACGTTGCAGGCATTGTATACTTATATCAGTTTCCACGTTCTAAAGGTATCCCAAGTCTTTCACCGTTCTGCCTCAAGTTGGAAACCTGGTTAAGAATGGCTGATATACCATACGAGGTTTGTAAATATGATCATGATCATTCATGATAATTACATTAAAATACCTACAATAATATCAGTATTGCTAGAAGCAATAATTATTATCATTAATGATCTGATGTAATATCGTAGAACGTACCCTGTGGATATAATACGCGCTCATGTGAAGGAACACTGCCGTTCGTTGAGTTAGATGGGAAGGAACATCCAGATTCATCTCTTGCTATACGGTATCAACTATTTATCTATAGAATTAAGCCTACTTCTTTGTCGATCTGTTTTCACTGCAGAAACGATTGATTTTACTACTAATTCTCATTAGTATTACTCAATTGTTGTAATAATGAAATTTCGTTAAAGTGATCTAACAGAGGCATTCTCGAAAGAATCAATGGAAGGTCACCTGAATGAGGAACAGCGTGCAACTTCACGCGCGTTTATAGCGATGACCGAATTATCATTGCTGCAATCACTTACCCGTATTCGAGTTGTTGAAAAATTGGGTGAGATGACAAAGCAATTGCCAGATAAAGCGTTCGGAATATTGACACCTTTCTGGATATGGTTCTATAAGCAATTTATGGGACCTAAGGTAGAACTCAAATGATATTGAACCATGGTGTTTAGGAATTGTTTTTGTTATTTGAGAAATGATGCATCTAGAAAAACATTTTTATTCTGTACGTTGTTATGAAATGATGAATCTCGGAACAATAGTGGATTTGTAACAAAACTAAGGATCAAATTTTTAAAGATGCGCGATGTACTGAAAGTGATTGGTATCGGAAGACACAGTCGTGATGAGATCATATACATTGGTAACGAGGATCTGAGAGCAATCTCGCATTACCTTGGCAGTAAGCACTACTTCACTGGATTTAAACCAACTCGGGTGCGCAACTATCAATTCTTCGTCCACATTCTTTCACGAAATCGAAATTTGGTTCCTCCAGAGTAAATCCATTTTCTTTAGGTTGATGCGGCTCTGTTCGGTGTTCTCGCACAAATTGTTTACGCACCATATGATTTACCTCAGAAAACACTCATTATGGACGAATTACCGAAACTCAAGGAGTATTGTGATCGTATCAAAGGTTGCTGTTTCCTTTTCACGAACGTTTCCAATTTAAGCATAAGTTGGGTTTAACCCGTTAAAGGAATCCCACGTCTTCAGGTCTGTCTGTAGCAAAGCTCCTGAATATTCGAAAATTTTGCTCAACCATATCTCCACAAACGTTGATGGTGCAGTAAGTTTGAGGGGTTGAACGCACACAGTAAGATTGTAACTTGAAACAAGATAGGTTGAAGGAGGTTTTATTTGAAAGTTTTCGAAAATTGAAACTATCATATTTCTACCTAGGCATATTACTGAGGAATGCCGTTTGAAATTTCCGTTTTGTTGTTTCTGTTCATCTTTTTCTACTATAAAAACAAGGTCAGCTTTTGACCAGACTCGAAAGAAAGTCGATCTATTGATATTCGAGTCTTTGTGTAGAGATAAACTGAAGTTGAACGCTCGCGAGTTTTCATAGATCTCAACCAACTGTACAAGTGTTTTTCCAAAGCACAGTTTTGTGCTTTTATCTTGATCAAGCTAGAGATATCCAAAACTGCCATTTTCGGAATGTTAGAAATTTGTTACCTTTAAGAAAATATTGTTCTATGTTGAGATGTATGTGGTGCAGATGTTAGGTGTTGGTCAGCTTATTAATAACTCATTCAGTTCTGTCTTTTTCAGGAAGATATTGGCCTGACTGGGAGGAATGTACGACCAAATTTACGATCAGCTCTGATTGGAAGAAGAAGGTATGAGAGGTGGTATATATGGTTGTAGTCTCAGTAGCGGTCCAATTAGGAAATATGTTGTTCAGAGTGTTAGTGACAGCCAATTTATGTGATCATCCGCATTTGATTGCTGTTGGTTTCTGGTCCATGGAATGATGTAATAGGATACTCGAACTCTACTCTCATTTATGCGCCCTAGTACATTTTTCATTTCCTCAGTTATTTTTGAAATTACGAACATATCTCAACACAATGTTTTAAACATGTATACAACGCGTAGATATAATCATTTTCTAATAAACTGCTGTTTATAAAGCAATATTTCTTAATGTAATTTTATGTGATGCAACAAAAGTAATTGTGAATAAACTTTCGAACTCTCAATTACACCCGCTGTGTTTCGTTTGTATGATATTGCAGGCGATTATAGTGAATTGCCGCATCTGATATGAAACTTTACGAATTACTTCATTCATCTCGACGTAATGTACAACACTAACAGCTATCGTAAAAATACATGTTGTTAAGTACAATTACTTGAAAGTGATGCCATGAACAAAACATTGCTGTTGGATTGTTTGATCAGTTGCTGCGTTTGCAGTTATGAGATGGTGTTGATTTTTGAATAATCGTTTCACGAATTATACAAAGTCTGTCTGCAATTATTCGCTCGATGAGAGCATCCATATGACATGAGATCAAACAAATGGTTATCCAAAATCACTTAGATATTGACTGAGAATGGAGTGCATCAACAATACTATGGAAACCGTTTAGTTCATTGGACAAAATCTGTTTATTGGTTGCGTATGTTGCTTCACTGTTGGTACTTCTCTCTAATCGATGTTAGAACGACGAACGTGACAGAAGATTCTCACATACCATACCTGGAACGAACGGAGTACTTGCTATGTGATATGGGATTTGCCGGAGTGTAAAGCAGAAAGGCAGCAAAGAATTGTTGTTGTTTATTTAATCGTTGATTCGTTCATTTGTTTGTTGATGTTCGAATATGAACACAGAGATTGAACACGAATATGTTTGTTGAAGATGAACACAGAGATTTTCAGTTTTTGCTTCTTATTGTTGAGTGGATGAGCGAAGAAGAAGGTGAAGAGGAAGAAGAAAAAGTTGAAGAAGAAGGAGTATTAGATAGGTTTGTTTAGAATGAGGATGATGCGCATTTAGTGGATGCAAGTGCCGTTGCGGTCGCAGATGCCGAATCAATCACACCACTGATTGATTGACGTTGGTTGGCTGGATGCTAACTGCCACTTCGCCTTATTCTCTTTTTAGGCCTCATTCTTGTAGCTTGTCTTAGGACTGGGTTCAGTGACTGACTAGTCGATAGGCCTGACCAACTACTGGCTAAGCTTCGTATGCTATCTACACATTTATTCCTTCTTTCTTCCATCTGAGTAGGCCAACAACTGGAAAGTGGACCGTAGACCAATCATGCTGTTATATGATTCAATTCATTCTCAGTTTCCCTCAATTTTTTTTCAGCCCCGTCATCTTTCTTCAGCATCTGAACGATCATCATTTTCATTAGTTTAACAGCCTTTTTACGATCACTCTTCCTTGTTTTGCGTTTTCTCTCGCTTATCGTCACCGTTCCTTTATTAACTTCCCTGTTTCATTGCCAGCAGATTATGCATTTATTTATTCGTTTATTCATTCATTCGGAAAATAAGTTTAATGTAAAACTGTTGTATATGTAAGCAACAGATTCATGAACCTGTGATTGCATTGGAGAGGAGCACAAGAACACATGCTTCGATTGTTCGTTCACATCCACACGCAATAAAATAAAACAAAACAGAACGCCGAATGAAAACGAAAATATTATCACCATCACAGCACATTATATTACAGCATATCCGAACACATCCATTCATTCATTCATCTATCTATCACGCAAATACCTCTAAATATCATCACTATATATATATA